TGGAATACCAGGGGGTAAAAGCCACCTTCCCCTCTCTGGGCTCAGTCCCTTCCCATCTGTGAAATGAGGGGGGGGCTGGAACTAGGATGAGGGACCTTCGCCAGGGCTGGTCACCCACACACCGCGACGCTACCAGGACGATTCTAGAGGGCACACAGGGCACAGAATGAAATAACCGCATCTCAGAATGAAACGGCTACACCCCTCCCAAATCTTCTTCTATCCTGGTTACAGCAAGGAAAGGCTGCATTTGGTGCTACTATGCATGTCCCTGAACTCTCTAGCACTGTCTAGTCTCTGCTTTTTAGCACAGAGAGTGCAGAGGCAGGCTGGGTGCCCTCTGCGGAGTCCATGCCTCGAGGATTTACACCATTGCTTTACGGGGTGTGTTTGTTTTTTCAGCTTCCTCAGCCAAGTGGCACTGGTTTTCTGTTTACCGTTTCGATATCAAATATCCTTTATAAGAGTAAGTGATATTTAAGGCCGGGCGCGGTGGCTCAAGCCTGTAATCCCAGCACTTTGGGAGGCCGAGACGGGCGGATCACGAGGTCAGGAGATCGAGACCATCCTGGCTAACACGGTGAAACCCCGTCTCTACTAAAAATACAAGAAAATTAGCCGGGCGAGGTGGTGGGCGCCTGTAATCCCAGCTACTCGGGAGGCTGAGGCAGGAAAATCGCTCGAACCTGGGAGGTGGAGGTTGCAGTGAGCCGAGATGGCGCCACTGCACTCCAGCCTGGGGCACAGAGCAAGACTCCGTCTCAAAAAAAAAAAAAAAAAAAAAAAAAAAAAAAAAAAAAAAAAAGAGTAAGTGATATTTAAATACATGTGTTTCAGTGTAAGGAAGTATGACTCATTTAAAGAAAAGTAAAAGAAATAATCATTCCAAGAGGTTCAGAAGTAGTAAATTTGGGCCAGGTACAGTGGCTCATGCCTGTAATCCCAACACTTTGGGAGGCCAAGGTGGGAGGATCACTTGAGGTCAGAAGTTTGAGACCAGCCTGGCCAACATGGTGAAACCCCATCTGTACTAAAAACACAAAAATGAGCTGTGTGTGGTGGCAGGTGCCTGTAATCCCAGCTACTCGGGAGGCTGAGGCAGGAAAATCGCTCGAACCTGGGAGGTGGAGGTTGCAGTGAGCCGAGATGGTGCCACTGCACTCCAGCGTGGGCAACAGAGAGAGAATCCATCTCAAACAACAAAAAAAGGTAGTACAGTTTTAGAGCTGGGATGGAAACCATGGGTTTGGAAAATGCTGGGCCAGATACCCTATCCCCTGACCCTGACGCTCACCCTGACCCTGACGCTCACCCTGACCCCGGTTTTCTTGGACTCAGGGATCACTTACCAGGTCCCCCATTTCAGCCCTTACCCTCCCTCCAAGGCAGCAGGCAACCGGGCAGGAAGCTTCCCGTGTAGCCTGTGGCGGGGTCCCGGAAGGCGTTGGGGCTCACCATGAACTCGGAGCTGGAAGTCCCTGGCCTGCTGACCAGCTGGGCTGAAGGCCACACACTGGTATCGTCCCTCATCCCCCACGTGACTGCTGGTGATCCTGAGAACCTGGCCATCCTCCTGGACCTGCAGGTGAGGGCCTCCCGGAAGGACAGGCCTGGAGAGACGGGCAAGGGAAAAGTGCCGGTAAGGCCGAGGCGCTGATGGGGGCAGGCTGCACACAGGGAGTGTGTGGCTTGTGAAAAGCGAGGCTGGGCCATTCATTAGCACCAAGAGGTGGGAGCAACGCAAAGGCCCAGTAAGCGAGGAACGGATCAACAACGTGTGGTCCGTCCATGCCACAGAGCATTATTCAGCCACAAAAATGAAGGCAATTCTGACACTCTCCACAATATGGATGAACCTGGAAAACATGCCAAGTGGAAGAAGCCAGACACAAAAGGCCACACGCTCTATGTATGATGCCAGTGACGTGAAGTGCCCCGAATAGGCAAATCCATAGAGCAGGAAAGCAGGCTGTGGTTGCCAGGCGCTGGGGAGAGGGGGACAGTGACTGGCTGCTGATGGATCCGGGGAGTCCTTTTGGGGTGATGGAATGTCAGGAACTAAATAGAAGTGAAAGTTGCCCAATGCTGCAAATGTACTAAAAGCCACTACACTGCACACCTTTTTTTTTTTTCTTGAGACTGAGTTTTGCTCTGTTGTCCAGGCTGCAGTGCAGTAGTGTGATGGCTCACTGCACCCTCTGCCTCCCGGGTTCAAGCCATTCTCCTGCCTCGCCCTCCCAAGTAGCTGGGACTACAGGAGCCCACCACCACGCCCGGATAATTTTTTTTGTATTTTTAGTAGACAAGAGGTTTCACCGTGTTAGCCAGGATAGTCTTGATCTCCTGACCTCATGATCTGCCCGCCTCAGCCTCCCAAAGTGCGGGGATTATAGGCATTGAGCCACTGCACCCGGCCCACTGTACACTTTAAAATGGTTAATTGTATGTTATGTGGATTTTTTTTTTTTTTTTTTGAGACAGGTTCTCGCTCTGTTGCCCAGGTTGGAGTGTAGTGGCTTGATCTCGGCTCACTGCAAGCTCCACCTCCTAGGTTCAAGTGATTCTCTTGCCTCAGCCTCCCAAGCAGCTGGGATTATAGGCGCCCGCCACCACGCCTGGCTAATTTTTTTTTTTTTTTGTATTTTTAGTAGAGACAGGGTTTCGCTATGTTGGACAGGCTGATAGCTCCCGACCTCAGGTGATTTGCCCGCTTTAGCCTCCCAAAGTGCTGGGATTACAGGCAAGAGCCACCGTGCCCAGCCTGTTATGTAAATTTTACTTAGAGAAAAAGTGAGTTTTAAAAAAGAGGCTGGGCACAGTGGCTCATGCCTGTAATCCCGGCACTTTGGGAGGCCAAGGCAGGAGGATTGCTTGAAACCAGGTGTTCGAGAACAGCCTGGGCAACAAAGCAAGACCCCATCTGTACAAACATTTTTTTAAAAAATTAGACCATTGTTGGTAGTGCACATCTGCGGTCCCAGCTATTTGGGGGGCTGAAGTGGGACGATCTCTTGAGCCCAAGAAATGCAGGAGTTTGAGGCTGCAGTGAGCTGAGATCGTTTCACTGCACTCCAACCTGAGCAACTGAGCAAGACCCTGTCTCAAAAAAAAAAAAATGGAAAGGCTAAGTGATGAAAGACCTGAAGACCTTGCTGAGGCAAGAGTGGGGTCTCCCTGGCTCATCTCCCACAGGGTGGGAGGCGCCCCTACAGCCCTCAGTCTGGGCCCTGGGTGGCACATGCCATGCCTGTCAGCTCCCCTAGAAGAGTTCAACCTCCCCCAACCCCCACATCCAGCAGGCCCAGTCTAGGCACCACCCCACGCCATCCTCCGATGGGAGCCACTCACTGCCTGTCCTTGGTCCACTCCACCTGGGGCGTGGGGACCCCTGAGGTCCAACACTGCAGCTCCACGTCTGCACCAGCCAATCCCAGCACCTCCTGAGCGACCCCGGCTCCAAGCACGGAAGGAGGGGCTGGAGGTGAGAAGGGGTGATGGGTGGGAAACTGTTCAAACCCTCCAAGCCCTGCCTACCACGGGGCCTTTGTCTGTGCAGACTCCCAGTCTGGGCCCTCTCCTACCCGACCTTCCTGGGAAGCCCCCTAGAACCCTGGCCAGATGGGCTTGCCCTGGAGCCCTCAGCACCCAGGCTGCCCTTTTATAGCACTTGTGACAGTAATGACTTTGCTAATCACCTGTCTAATGTCTGTCCCCTGAGCCTGACAGCTCTGTGAGGATGGGGGTTGGGTCTGTCATGGGCGCCTCTGTGCCCCCTGCTCTCCGCAGGCAATGTCTCCCCTCTCCCCCTGTGTGCCTGCAAGAGTTGGGGCTACAGGGTCAGACGCACTTGGGAGTTGCGGGGCTCAGGCCTCACTCACTGAGCACAAGGAGACGGAAGTCCCTCTGGGCGGTCCCAGCTTGGTTCTCTGCCCGGCAGGAGTAGAGCCCAGAATCATCCTCCTGGATCCTGGGGAAGTGGAGGGACTGGCCCCTGTCCAGCAGGCGGTGGCCACCCACCTTAGGGATCTGGGTAGGAGAGGCCAGAGGGAGCCAGTAAGCGGGGATCCAGCCACCACCCCCAGCATCAGTAATGAGGAAACTGAGGCCCGAGAGGTGGCCGGTGGCCAGAACGGTGCCATGCTCTCTGCCACGCAGCCCCCTGCCAGGCTTCATCACATGACCACCGTCCTCCACTGCCCTGAACCCCAGAGCAGGACAAAAGACACCTGTCACATCTCCCTGTCCCACCGTGGCACACGCAGGAACGCCCATCCAGAAGGCCTGTCCCCAGCCCAAATCCCACCCACCATGGAGGGGACACCCACCAGCTGCCCGTCCTTCAGCCACACGATCTCAGGGACTGGAAAGCCGTTCGCGTCACACTCCAGCGTCAGGGACTGCCCGGCCATGCCCGACACGTTGGCCTTGCGCCCGTCCTCCCGGATGCTGGGGGGCACTTGGGGGCAAGGAGAGCCAAGGAGCTGCTTCCCTGCCCCCCTAGAGCCACAGCCAAAGGGACCCCGTCTGGGCCATTCCCTCCCCTTCATCACTGGGGTTGGAGGAGGTCTGCCTGTCCCCGTCCGCCCAGCCACAAAGGGTCCTGTGGACCTGCAGATGGCCGCAGCAGCCTTGCCCTGGGGCCGACACACCCCCAGTCGTGCCCAGGCCCAGGTGTCACCCTTTCTGACACTCAGCTTTGCAGGGTGCTAGAGTCCCCTTGGATCCATCTGGTTCTATACCCAACCTGGTGTCACAGTGACCAGGGAGGGTCCCCCGAGTGAGAATCTCTGAAGGTGAGACCTGGCCATGCTTTTGTAACAAATGTCTTAAGCAAGTCATTACAGGGCAACTGGTCCTGGAGAAGCAGCAGGTGGCATTAGGAGCTTTAGAACTGCCCAAGCGAGGTCAGTTCATCCTGCCGGCAGAGACCACTCCCCAGCCCACCGGCACTGCCCGTGTTAAGGGGGGCCCCCTTCCTCTGCACATAGCACCCTGGATGTGGGGGTGGGCACGCTCCCTGCTGAGGACGAGAATGTGAGAATAGGCCAATGGTAACAGTTTTAACCTGGAGGTGGGCTCTGGGGCTCTGCACTGCCATCCATACTCATTTTCTTTTTTTTTTGAGACAGAGTCTCGCTCTGTCGCCCAGGCTGGAGTGCAGTGGCTTGACCTCAGCTCACTGCAATTGCAATGTCCGCCTCCCAGGTTTATGCCATTCTCCTGCTTCAGCCTCCCGAGTAGCTGGGACTACAGGCGTCCGCCACCTCGCCTGGCTAGTTTTTTTGTTTTGTATTTTTTAGTAGAGACGGGGTTTCACCATGTTAGCCAGGATGGTCTCGATCTCCTGACCTCGTGATCCGCCCATCTTGGCCTCCCAAAGTGCTGGGATTACAGGCTTGAGCCACCGCGCCCGGCCCCATGCTCATTTTCGAAAGTAATTTTTTAAGTTTATTTTATGTAGAGACAGGATCTCTCTCTCCCAAACCGGTCTCGATCTCCTGGGCTCAAGCAATCCTCCTGCCTCAGTCTCCCAAAGTGCAAGGATTACAGGCACGAGCCATCATGCCCAGCCAAGGGGTCATTTTAAACTATCTTCACCTCTAGACCAGTATCAAAGACACTGATGGAATTCCAGGTGCTTCCCCCATGCTGTCTCCATGGGGGTCTCTCTAGGGAAGTCCGGTGTCCAGTACAACCTGCCACTGTCCCAGGCGCTTCCCCCATGCTGTCTCCGTGGGGGTCTCTCTAGGGAAGTCGGGTGTCCAGTACAACCTGCCACTGTCCCAGGCGCTTCCCCCATGCTGTCTCCGTGGGGGTCTCTCTAGGGAAGTCGGGTGTCCAGTACAACCTGCCACTCTCCCAGGCCCCTCAAGATCTCCCCATCACTGGCACCTGGTGGCAGGACCTGATCCTCCTGTGTAGGAAGTTCTCGGGCCCTGGGGAACTGGCACTGCTACACCTGGGCACCCCGTGGTACTGTCAGACCCCCAGCATCACTGTGGGCCTCTAGCCGGATGCAGTCCTGGGAGGAAGACAGGCCCGTCCCTGGGTCCCTGCCACTTTCCTCTCCTGCCCCCAGCTCTGGCTCCCTGCTCACCATAGACCACCAGCTTGGCTCTCCTGGACGTGGAGCCCACCTCGTTGGTGGCCTGGCACTCGTAGTCTCCACTGTCCGTGGGTGAGACGGAGGCCAGGAATAGAGACCCCTCTTCCAGCACCGCCACACCTGGCCGGTCATGCAGGGGCTCCGAGGACAGGCCCTTCCGCCATGTGACCTGCGGCTTGGGCGTTCCTGGCAGGGTGCACAGTCATCAGTACGTACACCCTGACACCTTCCCCTCCACACCTGCACTGTCCCCCACACGTCTCTTCTGTGCAAAAGGGGCTGACCCTCCAGGGACGATTCCAGGCACCTCCATCCCCCCGAGGCTGGGAGGAGCATTTCACTCAGAGCTGTGGGCACCCCCACACCCGCCACCTACCCACACTGTCCATCCATACGGCCTCCTGGGGTGCCTGAGGGACCAAGGCAGGGGACTGTATGCCTGTTTTCTGGTTCTCTTCAGAGCAAGGCCCCATGCAGTTCCCTCATTTAGAACTGCACCCCAACTGGCACCCCCAGCCCCTGCCCTCCCTGCTTTTCAGCCATTGTCCTCCACTCTCCAGTGACCGGAGGACGCATCTATGATTCAGGTCTCCGCTGCCTCTTATCTGTGCCCCCACCCCACAAGGGCCAGGCTCTTTGTTTTTTTCCCTGGTGTGACTGCCAGCCTCTAGCACAGTGCCTGGCACACAGTAGGCACTAAATCAACAAACGAGCCGAGCCTGCCGTGCTCCAGCACCCTGCTTTGTGTCCTGGGGTCAGGGCCTGTAGGAGGCCCCAACTCTGCTCAGCCTGCTCCTGCTCCTCCCTCCACGAGCCTGGGCCAGTCACTTTGCCAGCCACCACCCCCAGTCCCTTGATCTCTAGGACACACCCCATGTTGGTCTGTGCACGCAGCCCGGCACACAGTAGGTGTGCCAGAAATAGCTGCCCACTGGGCTGGAGTGGAGCTGTCACTCACGGGCCCCAAGGACAGGGCCTGCCCAGAGGGCGTCCCGTGTGGGCCGAAGCTAACAGCCCAGTCCTCCAAGTGACCCCTTGGAGGCACACTGCCCAGAGGTCGCAGCATGAGCCCCAGGCACGAGCTCTGCTGCCGCTCTCCTGGCCGTAGCTCTCACCTGCTCCCTGACCTCCGCCAGCGCTGACTTAGGGGAGGCTGTGGGGTCCCCACACTTGCAGATCGGCACATCACTCCCAACCGCCTCTGCTGCCACCACTGGTCATCAGGACTGTTGTATCTAACAGTGATTATCAACAGAAAGGCCCGCCCCTGGCAGCGGGGGCCCAGGGGTAGACACGTACACTGTGGGCCGCTCACTCTTTCATCCTTTGAAGGACCAGTAAGCGTGGTGGTGGACAAGACATGGCACGTGGAAGGCACACTGGCATCATCTCTGCAGGAGGGTGCCCTGCCCACTCCGCCCTACCCTGACTGCCCACCGAAAAGTGCCAGAGACCCTCCCTGCTGGCATGAGGGAAAGGGAGGGCCCAGGGCCCTGCTCCATGTCCACCCATGCTCTGTGTCCTTGGGCAACTTATTGAATCCCTTTGTGCCCGTTTTCCCCTGGAATCCTCTGCCCAGAATGCAGGCCAGAATGTCCCACCACCAGCAGCTGCTACCCCTACTCCCCACTGTGGGGATACACACCACACACACACAACACGATACACACACCACACACCACACTACATACATGAAACACCATACACACATACCACACACAAACATACACACCAAGCACTACACACACCACACACTACACACCAAACACCGTACACACACCACACACGACATACATACCAAACAACACACACACCACATACACACCACATACTACATACACCACACACTACACACACCACACATGACATACATACCAAACAACACACACACCACATACACACCACATGCTACATATACCACACACTACATACAGATCACACATCACACTAAACACACCACCATACACACACCACACACAACATACACACCAAACACCACACACAACATACACACCAAACACCACACACTACATACATCACATATCACACTAAACACACCACCATATACACAGCACATACAACATACACACCAAATACCATGCTCACATCACATACTACACACAATACATACCACACACCACATACACACCATGCAATACACACTACACATACCACACACACAACATACACACCAAACACCATGCACACACCACACACATACCAAACACTATACACACCACACACAATATAGACAAAATATACACCAAACACTACACACTACACACACCAAACCACACACACAACATACATGCCAAACACCACACACACACACCACATACTACATATACCAAACACCATACACATACCACACACACAACATATATACCAAACACCACACACATACCACACACCAACCACCACATACACACCATACATGCAAATACCATGCACACAAAACACCATACACACACACACCACACATTCACACATACACACCACACACTACACATCATACACACACACTACATACACATCAAACAACATGCACATACCACATACAAACATATACACCAAACAACACACACACACCACACATCACACAACAAATACCATACACATACACACAACATACATACCAAACACCATACACACACTGCACACACCAAACACCACATACCGCATACAAACCACACCACACTACACACCACACACACCACATACATACACCGCACACAAACACCATGCACACCACACAATATACACACCAAACACCATACACACACCACACACACATTACACACACCAAACACCACATACCACATATACACCACACACTACACATTATACACAAGCACCGTGCACACCACACATACAACATACACCAAACACCACATACATAGACCACACACCACATACACACAGAACACATACATGCACACACATCCCACACATGATGCACACACCACATACATGACACATTCACACACACAC